CTTAAATCTGCAGTTAGTGAATTATGTGTGCCATTAGGTCAATGTTATGGTTTGTGTCTGATGTCCCCCCAAAACCTCATGCAGTTAGGTGGTGAGCTTCTAGAATTTTTGATTGGTCCATGGTCCAGTGCTAGGATTATGGGTGTGAGAACTACACCCGCCCTGGTGGGGGGCAGTTTGCATACAATGTAAGGGAGGGAAAGAGGCTTCTTGCCACAGCTCTTCCCCTTGTGCTCTTGTTGCTTTTGCTGTTTTTGTGTCTCCCGCTGCCATGAAATGTTGCCCTCTGCCATGTGCCACCCTGTCTTGGAGCCAGCTGAGTATGGGCTGAAACCACCAAAGACTGTGAGCTAAATAAACCTTTCCTTCCTTAATTTTGGGCATCAGGTATTTTGTCTCAGCAACAAGAGAAAAGTAACCAGACAGTCAACTTTTTATTTTCCACCATGCCTCAAATTTCTCAATGGGAACATAAAGCATCTCTACAAATTTGCTGTGAGGAGTAAATAAAATAGCAGATGGGAGGTCTGAGCATAGAGTCCAGGAATGTACTAAGTTCTTATCAAGAACTAATTTTTATAGCTCAGATTCAGTTTAAGAGGAGTCCAATTTACAGATAGGTGGCTGATGAGCAACAACAACAACAACAACAACAAAAATGACAGTTACTACTGACAAGAGCTACCAAAAGGGAAAGGCAAATAAAATTAATTCTCTGCTCATGCTGTTCAGGGATTTCTATTGCTTTAGAAATGCATCAAGGTTGTTCCTTAGGGCATCACCTGTGGTTTCCATCCATGGCCTTCTTCATGGGTGGCTGTAACTGGAATCTACTTGTCTAGTTATCCCCTCTATCATTCCTTTCAAAATGACTGCTATGGTGATAGTGTTTCCATTATGCTATTGTCACTCATTTTAATTTTGTATGTTATAAACCCCATAGCATACATTGGTAATATTTCACTCCATCATCAATGAACTATTAAAGAGATTTGAATAATAAATTTTTTTTCATTATGTTTATCCTTGCAGCTACCAGCTTAGATGTGACTGAAATGTTTTTGGCTCTCATTTTCCCTTTGCCTGGAGAACGGGCATCAGCATTTCCTGGAAGTACTGCTGATGGCTCCATTATGACTTACACACATCCCATATTTCCTTATAAACACTTCTTTTTCTGAGCAGAGACTTTCAGACATAGCGTTATTTTTCTGTATTTTTAACATTCTGTTTCTTCTCCTTTTGCCTCCACTATTCTCCTCTCCCTCCGTTAATACTTCTTTCACATATTCTTTCCCACCTCTCCCTCCCTTAATCTCTCTCTGTCTCTGTCTCTCTCTCTCTGTTTTTCTTTCTGTGTGTTTTTATTTATCTATGACTTTGCAGTGTACTTTATTATTGTATAGGATTAGCTATGGGAGGAAACTAGTCCTTTTCTTTTGGATTTGAATCCATTTCAATTTCTTTTTAAATTTTATTTTACAAAGAAAACAAACAAACAAACAAACAAAACCCCCACAAAGGCCAAAACAAAACAATCAAAACCCATAAAAATGATACAGAATTTCAAAACAAGGGGGTAGGAAATTAATAATGGTTGTCATCTATACATATTGTTATCTTCAAAGTAGTTGTTCAGATCACCAGACATAGACATGCAAGATTAATCAAACAGTAAGCATTAACTCTTCCTTTCAACAAACCAATACAAATCTATTGCTTTGCAGCATATTTTATTATTTACAGGATTAGATATGGTAGGGATTTTTGGGATCTGAATCCATTTCAAATTATTTTTGATTTAAGATAGAGGCTCTTTCTGCCCTCATCTAGCAGTGTGGAGTGTTTGTGCTTCTAATTTGTCTTAGTGCTTCTTGGGTGTCTTCTGCATCTCATTTAGTCACAGAACTACACTTTCTGTGATGCTATTCCTGGCTCTTGACTTTTATCAGAAACATTCCCAGCCCAGTGCTCATGCAGTGTGCTTCCTCATTTGCTGCTGCTTTGCATGTGCCCCTCCGAGCCCAGCCCAGCTGCTCAGATTTTATAAAGCAGGTCTTTGCAAGGAGAACTGAGCTGCACTGGGCAGAGAGGGCCAGCACGACACTCAGGTCATCTTGTTGCTGTTGCTGTGTCTCTCTGGTGAGAAATCTCAGCACTGTGGTTTCTTCAGGCTAATGTCTTTGAAAAAAAATTTTAAGTTGTAGTGGTGAATAGTGGCTCTTTCCACCATGGACCCAATAATATGTTGACTTCTAATACCATTTAAAGTGCATTTCAAATGACACATTTCAATGGGTTTATGTTAAAATTGGTGTGTGCATGTGTATGAGCAGTGTGCACTTTTGATTGTAGGTGCCAGAGGGGATATTGTGATGACCCAGTCTCCAGACTTCCTGGCCGGTGTCCCGGCAGACACAGTCATCATGAGCTGCAAGTCCAGTGAGAACATCGGCAGAGCTTTAGCCTGGTACCAACAGAAGCCAGGCCAGGCTCCCAAACTGCTCATCTACTCTGCATCCTCAAGGGCACCTGGGGTTCCTGACAGATTCATTGGCAGTGGCACTGGGACAGATTTCACTCTCACTATCAGCAGAGTCCAGCCTGAAGACATGGCAGGGTATTACTGCCAGCAATATTATCGCCGCCCTCCCACAGTGCTTTAGCCTTGTGCAAAAGCCTCCTCCCAGGTCATGGGTCAGTGAACCGCACTGCACCAGCTGCCTCCTCCTCATACAGCCCAGAACCTGCAGCTTCACTCTGCCTGCGAGCTTGTGTTTCTTCATTTATTCCATTGTGTTTTGCTGGGCCAGGAGAAAATTAAGGAACTTGGATTTCTTCTTCTGTGGGAGATCATTCTACGAATAGCTGTCAGTATCTGTTAGATTGCTATGTGTTTTGATTCACTGGACCCTGGGTTGCCGATGGCTAAACCAAAAAAATTTATCACCTCCTTTAGAAAAGTATCTGGTCATATTTAGTCTGTCAGAACAACTTTTCCATTTTGCCCCTTGGAATCTTGAACACCTACCATTTCATAACCTTTCACTTCTGGCCTCCTTTATCTACCTGTGGTCATTTGCTTCCTTTCTTCTTTCCCAAATTCAGCCTTTCACACCTCAGACTGAAAACTGATCTACAAATCTCAAAATAGAAGTACAAGAAGTGTGTACCAAACAAGGTAGCACAACCACTCCAAAGCCCAACGGCCGTGACGGTCATAAAAATGAATCTACGGAAATTAATTCTGATGAGTGTTTGGACCACCTAACAGAATTTTCATCTAAAGGACATATTTTTTCATTTATCATTTAAATTTCACATTTGTAAACTAAAAAGACATTCCTTATGGTTTGTGTCTGGATGTTCCCCCAAAGCCTCATGCAGTCATGGGGTGGGCTTCTAGAGTTTACGATTGATTCATGGTGCATTGTAGGGATTGCTGGTTGAGTGATACGCCTGGCCTGGGGTGGGTAGTTTGCATATAGTGTAAGGGAGGGAAAGAAGCTGCTTGCCATCAGCTCCTCTCCTTGTGCTCTTGCTGCTTTTGCTCTCTTTGCCACCATGAACTGCTGCCCTCTGCCATGTGTCACTCTGCCTTGGAACCAGCCACAAACTGTGAGCTAAATAAATCTTTCCTTCCTTAATTCTGGGTATCGGGTATTTTGTCTCAGCAATGAGAGAAAAGTAATCAATACAACATTCTTGACGTAATGTCATGGCTTGGTGAACTCTTGCTCTCAGTTGAATTCCATCCTTGGCCACCCCTCCTTCCCAGGTTCCAGTGCCGGTTCTTTCTCATGTGCTGACTTCTGCATATTGGGTAATCAGCCAGAGCCTAGTCTGCCCTCATTTGTTGCACTGATTGTTTCGTGATCTCACCCTGTATCCCTACATTTGCTTCTCCCCTTCAGACTCCCTCCCTGAACATCCAGAACTCCACATGTGCATCAGCCTTAGGGACACTGCAAGTTGGAAGTGTGGCAGCTCTTCAACTTTCTAATATATTCCAATCCAAGTCCTGATTCGCACCTGTGTGCTAGAGTAGCTTGCAGCCCCATTCCCAGTGTCAGAAAGCATCATTCCAATTTCTCTGGTTGCTCAGGTCCAAACGTATGTTGAAATAATGCTTGATGCTACTTTTCTCTTACTTCATGTCCAATACATCAACAAAGTTTCTTTCAAAATGTGACAAATGTCTGCTTACCTTTCACCCTATCTACCAGTGCCTCATAAGATTAGGGAAGGGAGACCCATTATGACCCAGATAAAAACAGAGAATATTAAAATGGGATTTTTTTGTATTTATTTTATATGTCCCAAAGACCAACAATAACATCATAGGTACTAACAGTCCCTATGCTCAGTCTCTTTCTCTCCTTCTACACTTTATCTGGGAATAGTAGTAGTCTTGATGGATTTTTCATGAAAGGAAGAAACTTGGCCTATTGTAATTTCCCAGTTGTTGTAAAATAGGATGGAGTTGTGGAGTACACTGTTTAATTCAAGAACATTAGGTTGCAACCTTTTGTTTCCCATAGAAGATTTAAAAACACAGGTCCTTATGGTACATAAACTCTTATATATCTTGGTGAGTACTAATAGAAAGACAAGGCATAATTTAGTCATAAATTCCTTGTCCAGTTGTTACTGCTCACTGGGAGAAATTCTCTGAGAATTCTCTTGCCCCTTCGCGTCATAGTTATATCAGTGCATTCTGTGGTATTCCTGTAATGAGTGCAGGTTGTTATCAAGTTATCAAGTCATCAAGTCATCCCTGGATTCTGTTATCAAGTCGTCCCTGGATTCTGATGAAGTCACATTCATATTTTAGGTGCTCACCTGTATCCACTGGATGGATGGGGGATATGTGATAGGACATAATGAATACATGGCCAGGATCATTACTAATCATGGTGTTAGCCCCACATAATGCTCCATTTCCCCATATTGCTATTGCACCTGGCCCATATTTCAAAGCCAGGAAGGGACCTCTTTACCTCTGTGGTTCTGCCTGAGGTGTAGGCCAACTCTCTCAATGTGACAGTCAGACCGAGTGAACCATGCGCACCACCACATCTGCTCAGGATCCTGGCATAAGAAGAGAGAAGAGGCTGATTAAGTACAAACGTTATATTCTAATTTCATCTTATTAATCATCTCAGGTTTACATCCAATTTCAGAAAAGAATAGAATTTCCGGTGCTCAGAGGAACCTGTGGAAGCCAGTCACGTCCTTCTACTCTGTGAGTCTGGGTCCGCACCAGAGCACAGGTCCTTAGGCTCTTTTGTTTTCTCCTCTTAGTCCTGTGCAGAGGCCTCTTCTGCAACCTGTTGTGTGTTCTTCAGCTTCTTCCTCTCATGTGGACCCACAGACTCTGCCATGGTGCACAGCAGCACCAGAGGGCAGCTGAGCCTCCTCAGCCGGGGAGGTTTGTGTTTGGAGCCGTATCACTGTGGGAGGAGCATGTGTACATTGTGTACAGTAATGAACTCCAGCACCTTCAGCCTCCACTCTATGATTTTGAATGTGAATTCTGTCTTTGATCCAGTACAACTGAACCTGTCTGGGACCCAAGAGTACTTTTTGGAAACCTCAGAAATCATGCGCCATGGAAACTCTCCTCGTTTGCATACAGTCCAACGCAAGTAGGACTGTACTACACTACATAGAAGGCTCTGACTGGACCTGCAGGAGATGAAGCCCGGGTCTTCAAGGGTGATGGAAAGAGAGAGTGAGTCTGGGTCATCTGAATGCCTCCTATGTATCCTAAATAATTATGGAGAATGGCAAGGTCATGTACAACACCGTGATTCATTTTCATAATTTTCCCTTTATTATATATTTCAAGCATTTTTTGTGATTTTCCTATATAAGGATAAGTGTTCGATTATAAGAAAGTACCCAAGATGTAAAATCATTCTTGAGGATTGTTTTTATTGTGGGAAGTTGAAGACTGACCTCGGGACCTCCGCGTGCTGGTGAGCACTCTGCCAGGAGCTACACCGGCAGCCCTGCAATTGGGATTTCCCTGAGCTCTGGAAGAGGATCCAGTGTGATCTGCCCTGCCTGCTCTTTACTGTCTGAGTGTGTGTCTCACCCGACCTCCTTTTCTCCCTGGTGTCTGTTCCCTGGGCTGCTCTTTGACCCCTAGATTTCTGAATTCTTCTCCTCCTCAAGACCTCATGACCCCTCTGCTCCCAACCAGGCGCCTTCACCCATGCCTAACAGGCTTGAGTTCATTCCTGTGGTGACTCTGGCTCTGGTGAGAGCCTGGGTGGTTTTTTCCTTCAGAAAGCTGTGGTCCAGAAGGGAAGGACTTGAACTTTCCTCACTGGTTGTGATGGGAACACTGTATCATTTTTACCCGTGCCTCACGCTATTCTCAGGGCTGGTCTCCTCTTCACAGTGAAAATGTAAGCACCAGATTTGTAAAATAGTCTGTGTCCTTGGAATCCCCGATACTTGGGACAGACTAGGATGTGGCGAGTGAGGCATTTGCCGTGGGTGCAAATTTCAAGAAAGTGCCCTAATCTCAGTCATTCCTATGCATAAATTTTAATGAACTAAGAGAGAAATGAGGATAACAACACCTTTCACAATAGTATCCAAAAAAAATGAAATGCTGTGGATCAGTCTAACAAAGGAAGTAAAATACCCCTGCATTGAAAACTACAGTACTCTGGAAAAGGAGGTTAAAGAAGATATCAGAAAATGGAAAGATCTATGCCCTTGCTCATGGATATGAAGAACCAGCATAGTGAAAATGACCCTAATCCCAATACTGTCATAGAGTTTTAATGCTGTCCTAATCAAAATACCATTAGCATACCTCACAGAATTGGAGAAATCATTCCTAAATTCATTTGGAAACATAAGAGGCCTATAATAGCAAAAGCAACTCCAGGCAACAAAGGCAAGGCAGGAAGTATCACAATCCCTGGCTTAAAATTCTACTACAAAAATACTGTGATAAAATTAGCATGGTTCTAGCAAAAAAGAAAAATATCCAGACCTTAGGATCAGTGGAACAGATTAGAAGATGCGGACACAACAACAAACACATTCAACCACCTTATCTTTGACAAAGGGACCAAATATGTTAACTGCAAGAAAGGTAGCCTCTTTAATAAATAGTGCTGGAAAAACTAGCTCCTTACGTGCTGAAGAATAAAACTAGGGCCATGTCTATCACCAGGCACTAAAATTAAAATGTTTAAAAATCTAAATATTAAAACAGAAACACTAAATCGACTGGAAGAAAAAGTAGGTAGAAATCTTGAAAATTTAAGTGTAGGCAGACAGTGCATAAACAAAACCCAATCTGCATGGGAAATACTTCAACGTACCAACAACTTAGATGTCAGGTTATTAAAAAGCTTTTGCTCATCAACAGCAATCACCAACAGAGTGAAAATACAACCCACAGAGTGAGAAAAATTTGAGCCAGTTGTCTCTCAGACTAAGGACTTCTATGTAGAACATAAAAGAACTCAAATAAATCAAGCCTCCCAAATTCAAAGACCCAATCAATAAAAAGGGATCTGAGATGAATATTCAGTTCTCAGATGAAGAAATACAAATGGAAAATAAATACACAAAAAAATGTTTAACATTTTTGGTCCTTCAAGAGATGCAAATTAAAACAACACTGAGATTCCATCTCAATGCAGAAAGAATAAGTATCATCAAGAAATCAACTGAGAACAAATGCTGATGGGGCTTTGGGCAAAAAGGAACCCTTTTCTACTGTTGGTGGTATAAGGAGCTGCTGAAGCTGGAAATACTTTGGTCCTGAGAAAACCATCTGTTTGAGACAATTCCAGTCATCAGTCGCTAGGCAACCCTGTGTCTCCCAATACTAACCTTGTCAGAAGTATAAATAAACACCCCTACTGTTATTGTTCGGTTCTTCTCCTCCCATTGAGAGAGAGAGAGCTCAACCTGACTTTAGCTTTGTCTCTTGTCTATAATTTCCTCATCCTGCCACCATTTTTTCCCTGGGACCATTGATATCTGCGTGGGTAGGGACAGGTGGGAGTGTAGACTGGTACAGTCACTGTGGAAATCAGTGTAGTGATTCCTAAAAATACTAGGATGAGAGATCCCAATTGATCTAGCTATTCCCATTTTGGGTATCTTCCTGGAAAAATCAAAAACATCATACCACAATTGTATATGTGCACCCATATTTATAGCAGCACAATTTATGATAGCTAAATCTTGGAAACTACCCAAATGTCTATCAACTGAGGAATGGATAAAAACAATCTGGTATTTTTATACAGTGGAGGACTACTCAGACTTAAACAAGAATAAACTTGAGACTTTTATAGGTAAGTGGATGCAATTTGAAACCATATTCAGAAGTGAAATAACTCAGACTCACATGTATAAATATCATATTGTCTCCCTGGTGTGAGAAACTCAAAGAGAAAATAAGGTCTAAAATGCACAATAGATATTGTGAAATGGGAAGAAATTGTTCAAAAGGAAAAAGCAACTAACACGGAGTAGACGGAAAAGGACAGAAGGAAAAAGGAAAAATGCAAGTCAGTCATACTATTAGTGTCTCTTTGTTCATTGAAAAGGAAGGCTTGTGCTAATACTGATCAGAGAAATTTCTATGTGCAAATCTGTAGTCTGAGCAACTACTTTATAGAATACAAAATACATTGTATTAACTATTGTTATTCTCCCATTATTGTGTTATGAAATTTTGTCTTACTTTTTGCCATAAATGAGGCACTGGATGCTCTTGTGTGGTGGTTAAACTGGGTAACAGGATGGTGGATAAAATATTTCACTATATTTGCAAGAAGCAACCTGAGAAACAGCCTTCCTAGGAATCTGCAGTGCAAGAGAATGACCAGCAGGGGGCAGAAGTGCTCACTCCTTTATAAAAGTTATCTTAAACATCTTCTACCTGCCTGGGGAAATCTCTGATCCTGGGGAAGAAAAAGTGTCAGTTGGAGCTTTATAATACTTTTTATTGGGAGTCTATAGTATTTAAACAGCTATTTGAGTTTGTGCAGGTTTTCTTTTATTAGTTGGAAATAGGCAATTGGACTGTGCTGTAATTGCTTATGGATGGGGTAGGTGAGAGCAGTTGAAATTAGAGAAAGGACACTGGGAATCAAGCTTGATGAACTAAGCAAATGACTTCGCACAGCACATTCTAAGGAAATAATGGGTCACGCGAGGCATCACGTTCCTCACAGCTTCAATACTCTGATATATTGTAAACAGAGCTGCATTTATTAAACTAAATCACAGCATGGCAGAAAAATTATTTCATGATGTTGAAAGCAGAATGTTCAGAGCAATTTCCCTTGGAGCTTGCTCTGCACAGAACTAGCCAACAGGTGGCAGCAAGTTCCCATCTGTTTATAGAAGTACTCTTTAAACCCTTGCCCCTGCCCAGGCAGAGCTGTGATCTTGTAAGAGGCAATGTTTGGACCATTTGTAACACTGGCCCTAAAGGACATGTTTAGGTTCATTCAACACTTTCATTTTACATTTGTGAAAGAAAAAGAGATTCTTAAAACACTGCCTTAGCTCCAGAATCTCCTCCTCTCTCCCTCTATGTCTCTTCTCTCCCTCTTTCCCCTTCTGTCTCTCTTTCTGTCCTACCAGTGCCTTCTACTCCACAGCTTCCAGCGCTGGTTTCCCCTCAGGACTGGGTTACATGGTGGTACTCGTCTGCCCTCATCTACTTACACTCACTTCCTGGTGATCTCACCTCTGTCCCTATATTTGCACCTCCAGTTCAGATTGCACCCAGAACCCCAGAATCCTATGTATGCATGTGCCTCAGGGACAGTTGTTGTTGGGAGGTCTGATGTAATCTTGAAATTTGAAGTACATTTCACTGCAAGTTCTTATTTCCACCTGCCTCCTGGTGTTGCTTCTGCCTGCCTTCCCATCTAAGGAGACATCATTGCAAATCCTCTGGTGACTCATTTCCAAACATAAGGCTGTCTTAGTTCATATCCAATATGCTAACAAACATATTTTTTGTGACTTTAAATATGACCAGAATATGTCCACTTTTTAAAACAACTGCCATCAGGTTCGGAAAAGTAAGCACATGCCGATTTGGATCATGGTATTAGAGGAACTATTTAATGTTCACTTTGTAAGCTGTCTTAAAGGCCCAAAATAGTAAACAGGTATCAACTGTCCCTATTATCAAACTCTTCATTTTTCTTGTCCTACATTTAACTTTGAAAATCCTCCAAATGCTTAGAGGATTCTCAAAAAAAGGAAGAAACTGAGCCTATTGAGATTTACCAACCATCACGAGGATGAGTGGGGTGTGAGGTATGTGCCTTCATCCTGGAAATTTTAGGTCTCAGGGTCTTATATGCCTATAAAAACCTTGGAAATAGAGATCCTTGTAGAGACTAAAGCTTTATATGACTTTGTGAAAGATAATAGAAAAAAGAGGCAAAAATTGCTCATAAACCCCATGTTCAGCTGCTGCTAACTGCTGTGAAAAATTCTCTGAGTATTTGTGTGCCCTCTTTGTATGGAAGCTATACTCCTGAATATCACCCAGTGAGGATCCTTCAACTTCTCTCAGGTCGTCCACAGCATAGGATGAAGCAGAGTCACAATTTGGATGCTCACCTTTGCCTTGCTGCATGGACCAGAGACTGAAGATTCTTTAGGCCTGGATCTGTACTCACTGTAGAGTCAGCAAGACCAAGAGCCATGTGTGACGCACCACTTCCCGATAGTCCATGGAGTTGCACGAAGCCCAAACTTGCAAGCCCAGAAGTGTTCTCTCCCCCTTTGCCTTCCTGAGGTGGGGCAGCTCTCCAGGAGCGGCAGACCGGACAATGCATGGTCACCATATTCCCACTGGATCATGACAAGATAAGAGGGAAGTGCAAGATAAAATACACATCTTACATGCTATTTCTGTATCATTAATCATTTCCGCTACATTCACTGTTGTGTGTTTGTTTTGGTTTTATTGAGTTTCGTAAAGAACAGAAGTTTTAAGGTCCAAAGTTACCTCTGGAAGCAGCTCGATCCTTCTCTCTCTGTGTCCCGTCCTCACCAGAGCTCAGGTCCCCGCAGCCCTGTTGTCTCCCTCACTCTCTGTCCTGGGCAGAGGCCTCAGCTGCAGCTTGTTGTTCTGAGTTCTTCAGCCTCTTCCTCTCACACAGAACAGACTGCTGTGCTGCTCCCCAGACAGCAGCGCACGAGGGCAGCTGGGCCTCCCCAGGCAGGGAGGTTTGTGTTCGGGGCTGTATCACTGTGGGAGGAGCATGTGAACCTTGCCAACAGTAATAAACTCCGGCGTCCTCAGCCTCCACCCTGCTGATGGTGAGTGTGAACTCTGTCCCTGACCCACTGCCACTGAACCTGTCTGAGATGCCAGAATTCCGGTTGGAAACCTGATAAATCATGCCCCGAGGAGCCTGGCCTGGCTTGTGCACCATCCAATGCAGATAGGTGTTTCCATCACTATAGAGGAGGCTCTGACTGGATCTGCAGGAGATGGAGGCCATCTCTCCAGGGCTGATGGACAGGAGTGGGGTCTGGGTCATCACAACATCTCCTGTGGATCCTAAAATGATGAAGGAGAAGTGTGAGAGCATGCACAAATATGAGCCATTTCCATAGTTTTCCCTTTTTTAAATTGTGAAGCTAAGTTATTACGTTATTTTAATATACAATGAAAACTTTCAATTTTGAGATAGCTTCCAAGGTTTCTAGTGACAGGGAACCCTCTAGAATTTCCACAGTGCTAATTTCCACAATGCTAATTTCCTGTTAATGCTAGAAAATGCTAGAAATGTAGAAGTTTTCACTAGAGGCCTGGTCCTAGTCCTTTAAGAATATCCTTCACTCACTGATCTCGCCTCGCTCATGCGTGCTTCAAGACAGCGCTGCACATCTCACAAATGGACAGAACTGACCCAGGCAGCTGTGGGACCCTGGAACTCACAATCTCACTCTTTGTCCCTCCTCATCTCCCTGTGTCCTTACCAGTGATCCAGAGCAGGAGCAGCCCCAGGAGCTGAAGAGGGAGCCTCATTTTGACAAATTGAACTGAAGAGTCCTGATCAGTGAAGGCAAAGTTAGAGCCAGCTTTTATCTCACACGTGCTTGGGAAGGTCCTCCCTGGGGGACAAAATGCAAATTCCCCGGTGGGTGCGGTGGTGTGGAAAGAGTGAGGAGCCTGGCGAGGCTTCTCATGTGAGCCCCATGGTATAAAATATCCTCTGTGTTTGGAGGAAAAGCAATAGAGCTCCATCCATGCTGCCTGCAGCAGTGGGTCCGAGGACCCCTTGGAAATTTTGGGTCTGCAGCACGGATATGGTTTTCATGTCTCTGACCATCCGGGGCAGGACTAGAGTCCCTAGGACATGAGCGTGTCCAGGTCCAATTCTCGGAAGGGAAATCTCATGCCTCTTAGCTTCCTTGAAGAGAAAGAAGCAATTCTCACTGCATGACTCCTCATTCTTAGCATTTTCTAGCATTAACAGGATGTAGCAGAGCAGTGAAGCCCTTCTGATGTAACCAGATGAGCTATCACCATTCAGAAACAAGATTAGAAATAATCTTTACCTTGACCTGGAAAGTAAATAACATAAGGGCACTAAAATTAAAAGAATATGGTATAGAGGGAAAAAAAATCTGTCTTCCACCTGGAGAGCAGTAAATCTTTTGAAGGGAAGAGGAAAAGGAGAAAAAATGCCTTACATAATAGATATGAAGTTCCTGGTAAGTAGATATTAAAATTGGTAAATATATGGTCATGCCTATCTCCATGTAGACATGTGGTGTATCAGGATACATATAGATGACATATGTATGACACACACACCAGAATTATGAAGAGTTTTCTTAAGGAAAGATTGCTCTAGGTTCCATGCAAAATCAACAAGGGATAATTTCATGCTACTCTTTTCTGAATCACCATAAGTCATCTATTTCATATCTAATCTTTCTTGTAATAGATATTAGACAGCCATGGTCCATAGTTTAAAGAAATATTAGAAATATTAAAATATCATGATTGGTTCTGGTCTTTTAAGGAATGTCTCAGTGTAACTTGAACCAGTGATTGACATTGTCCTGAGCTTTATCTAAGATGCTTACTATGGAAAGTGGGTCAATTTTAGAGTTCCTCCAAAGCTGTGAGAGAATGAAGTCATGCTGCTATCAGTCTATAAATTTGTGGTATTTTTTATGACAGCCCTGGAGGTACAGTGTACCATTTATACATTTTGGAAAGTGTGTTTGTAGAAAAATAAGTAAGTAAAGATTCTGTAATGTATACTTTTATTATAAATAAAAAGTTCTTTGGATGTATTTATCATCATTGTGTGTGTGTGTATGTGTGTGTGTGTGTGTGTGTGTGTGTTGGGGATTAAACCTAGGATATTCACACTGAGCTGCATCACCATTTCCTTTTATTCCCTTGATTTTGAGACAGGGTCTCACTGTGTTGCTAAGTTGTCCAGGTTGGGCTGCAACTTTCTATCCTCCTCCCTAAGCCCCCAGCGTGCTGGGGTTACAGGTGCACACCATCTGTCTTGGGTGACTTTATCTTCCGATCATGTATGTTCTTTCTAAACACTTCAAGAAGTTGAAAATTTCCCTTATTGAATTAGTCTGTATCCAAAGGTCCTGTTCTTTGTCTGTCTCACATGAATCAGCAGTATTAAGTGCAATGAAAGAAAATAAAATTTCATCTCATTGGAGTAGTCTGAAGGGAAAGTTCTAAAATGTAACAAAGGTAGGAGTAGACCCCAATTTGCTAGCATAAGACTTGGGCACATTTAGTCAGCTTTCATATTCTTGTCCTTGGAAATTAGGAAGTTTTCAAAACCACATGCAGTTTGACTGTGTTATATTTAAGTATCCCAGTGTCCTAGGTGAGACTTACAACAGATCATAAAAATTTATTCTAATATTTCATACCTAAGAAAATAATCGCAGCACATAATCTCCAGAAAGTAAAACAAAAGGTGATATCACACTGATTTAATGAAATATTAAAACACAAATTAACTTGCCATTAATATTTTTGGCTTGACAATAAAGATGAATCAAGTGATTCACAGTATATGTAAAATATCTTGAGATGGCAATTTTATACAGCTGATCAATGTTTTTTTCTTTATTTTCTTTCACTTTTTAAATAATATCAAGTTTATAATTTATTTTCTCAACATCTTTTCATAAGTACCAGATCAGAAGTTTGGGACCAGCCCTTTGCTCTCCAATAATTTCATTCGAGTCACTTTGTCTATTCAATATTTCATACCAAGAGTCTCTGACTTTATTGTCTGTGGACCTTCAAATATTATTTGTGAGTGTTCTTGAGGACTTTGCATGGTGGTGTCCTCCTTCAGAGGAGTTTTACTTGGGCACCTCCTCAACAAGGCTATCTTCAACCAGTTTCAAGGTTGGAAGTATTCAGTCTCACTAAAGCAGACATTTTTGGAGTGTAAATCTTTGGCACCCTTGGTCTGCACCCTTTGCTTTCAAGGAAATCTTGTTTGTCGTTTTACCTCTTCATTTCCCAATGTACTTAGAGCTCCCCTTTAACTTCAAAGTAGATGTGGGAAGGGTATTTCTATCAAGTCTTTTCTGTATACTTCACTAGGACAGAGATGTTCTGAACTATCTTAATTTCAGGCCCCACCGGAACCCCATAGAGCGAATTCTGGCCCAGTCTTGTGCTATGTGGCCCATGCACAGGTTGGAGCCTGGAGCTCCACGTCTGTTGTGTGTTTTATCCTTTCAGGATAAAAGTGACTTAGGGGCTCATGCATGTTTTTGTCAGAAAAAATTAAAAATACATTCCAAATTTATCATTTCTTTTTGTCTTTTCTCTTCTTTTCTCACCCTTTTCCTGCCTCTCTCTCCCTGCCTTCTTTCTTTGCTTGTGTCTCGTTCCCCTTTTTAGTTCTTTCTTTTGTGTGGTTTCTCCACCTTGTGTTACTAGAAGTTCAATAAGTAAAATATAATAGTCAGGTGAAAGCCTCACTCATAGCCCGGATTAAGTGGAGGAAATCATATCACTGCCTGAGGACAAGGTCTATGAGTAATCACATTCAGACAGTACTGAAGAAAAGACTAAGATATTATAAGCAGCACATATGAGGTAGACCCTCTGGTGCACGACTGACACCAAATCTAGGAACAATTTGTTTAGATGAAGGAGTCATGACATAGGTCACAGGCATAGAAAACCTACTCAGTAAATAACAGCAGAAAATTTCCCAAATCTTGGGAAAGGTGTGAATATCCCCAAAGAGGAACCACTTAAATCTCAAGTAGATATGACCAGAAAAGAACCTCCTCGAAGTCACAGCAATCCTCCTGCCTCAGCCTTACAAATGCTGGGACTGCAGGCATGTGCCACCCAAGCTGACTCTCCTTCAATTCGGAAGAATAACACTGTTTCATACAGTAATCTAGGTTTTCAGTTACATTTTTCAGGATATGAAATACCATTATTAACCACACTAATGATTTTACACATGCTGCTGAGAAATCTAATAGGTTCGCCTTTATAAGTGACTTGATGCTTCTCTCTCAGTGTTCAGGAGTAGTTCTGGACTACTGCCAGTTTTGTAATATGGCAGGAGTCAGCTTGGGTGGCACATGCCTGCAGTCCCAGCATTTGTAAGGCTGAGGCAGGAGGATTGTTGTGACTTCGAGGACAGCCTGGGCTACACAGTGAGTTCACACGAGCTTCAACTGCATAGTGAGACCCTGTCTCGAAAATAAAATAAGGACATTATGAGAGACATTCTTCACCATTATTATAGCATTACATAAGATGCTTGAAGAAGTCCTTCACAAAGAAGAGCAGAAAGATAAATACAGTCATGAGATCCAGGAAAGAATAAATCTTTCTAGAACAATAGAAAAGCAAATAAAAATAGAAAGGAATAAGACATAACTAACTCAGTAAACCATGCAGTTTATAAGATGAATAAGTGAGAAATAAGCCAATATGTCTCATCCAAATCAACCAGAAAGAAAACAGTGAAATCAGAAGCACAGTCGCACAGCTTATTGTCATAACCTTCAGTGTGGATATTTGAATTATCCAATTAAAGATGCATACTTACAATTGGATGGAAAAAACAAGATCCATCTTTGACATATGCAGGAAATGCACCTTAGCAGCAAAGATATATACTGAGTGAAGATGAGAGAATAGAGAACGACATCCCAATAAATGGAACAGAAAAACAAACTGAATTACTTAGCTATATTCATATCTGGCAAAATTGATTTTAAGTGAAAATTTCTTGGAAGAGACAAAGAGGGTTAGTACCTATTGTTAAAGGAAGCAATGCATCAAAAAATTGCAACAATTGTGAATATATAGGTAATGATCTCTGAAGAACCCATATTTATAAGACAAGCACCAGAGACATAGAGAAAGTACTAGGCCCCATATAGTGATAGTGAGCAATTTTATGACATCATTCTCACAAATAGATTGATCTTCTGGACAAAAATATCAACAAAGAAACAACAAAACTGAAATGATTTAAAGGACTTAACAGACACCTATGGAGTATTTCATCCAATAGCTGCAGAATACACACTCTTTTCATTGGAATGCACAACTTTCTTTAAAATAGAACACAATTTAGGCCATAAAGAAAATCTTGACCTACATGAAACACTGAATTCTTTTCTTTCTTCTTATCAGAACCATTCTCAGAGCTCACAGTTCATTGCAAAGAGTGGAGCAAGTACCTGTTTTTCAAAAAGTTTACTACCAAACTCTCCACGTGCCCAGGGAGGCCTGTGATCCTACATGTGAAAGAGTGTTTGGGCCACTTAGCAGCATTCACATCTAAAGGACATATATTTTTTTCTTTATCATTTTAATTTTACATTTGTAAATTAAAATGACATTCTTGACATATTGTCTCAGCTCTGGGACCTCTCACTGTCAGTTGAATTCCATCCTTGGCTGCCCCTCCATCCCAGGCTCCAGTGTTGGTTCTTTCTCATGTACTGACTTCTGCATATTGAGTAACCAGCCAGAGCCCAGTCTGCCCTCAATTGTTTGCACTGATTGTCTCTTGGTCTCACCCTGTATCCCTACATTTGCTTCCCCAGCTCAGACTACTTCCCCGAACATCCAGACTTCCACATGCGCATCAGCCTTAGGACACTGCAAGTTGGAAGTCTGGCAGCTCTTCAAATTTCTAATATGTTCTAATCCAAGCCCTGATTCCCGTCTGCATGCTAGAGTAGCTTTCAGCCCCATTTCCAGTGTCAGAAAGCATCATTGCAATTTCTCTTGTGGCTCAGGTCCCAACGCATGCTAGAGTAATTGTTGGTATGACTTTTCTTTCACACCTCATGCCCAGTGCCTCAGCAAAGTTTCTTTATTTCTGACTTGAAAACGTGACCAATGTCTTCGTGCTTTCACCATATCTACCAGTGTCTCATGACATCAGGGAAGGAAGGCTCATTATGACCCAGAAAAAACTATGAGAGGGTATTAAAATGGGGCCTCTTTTGTATTTATGTTGTAAGATGTCCCAAAGACCAATAATAACATCATAGGTTTTAACAGCCCCTATATTCCAACTCTTTCTTTCCTCCTACACTTTACCTGGGAATAGTCATGATCTTGGTGGATTTTTCCTAAAGGAAAAAACTTGGCCTATTGCAATTTCCCAGATGTCATGAAAAAGGATGGAGTTGTGGAGTGCACTGTTTAATTCAGGAGTATTAGGTTGCAACCTCTTTGTTTCCCATAGAAGATTTAAAAACAAAGGTTTTACGGCGCATAAACTCTTATACATCTTGGTGAGTACTAATGGAAGATGGAGCTTAACTCGCCATAAATTCCTTGTCCAATAGCAATCTACTGATCACTGGGAGAAATTCTCTGAGAAGTTTCTTGTCTCTTTGAATCACAGTTTTATTCATGGATTCTGTGGTATTCCTGTAACAATGCAGTCTTGTTTACTAGTCTTGTCGTCCCTGGATCCTGATGAGATCGGATTTGCATCTTGGTGCTCACCTGTGTCCACTGGATTAATGGGGAATATGTAATGAATACTTGGCCAGGATCATTACTAATCATGGTGTTAGCCCTCCACAATGCACCATTTCCCTGTCTGGCAATTGAACCAGGCCCATACTTGAGAGCCCAGAAGGGACCTCTTCAACTCTGATTCTGCCTGAGATGTCGGCCGGCTCCCGCCATGTCTGCGAATGCTGGATCTCTCTTATAACCTGAAAATGACTGTGGGTACACAGATATGCATGTGTCAAAATCAATATAAATATATATTGAGAGTGTGGTTTTCATAAATGTAAAATTTACCCCTATCCACTTTCCTAAAAAGAAAAAAGTTCTGCGATATTCTCTAGCCCTGAGCTTCTTGGAAGCAAATAGAAAGACAACAATAATAAGTTACACATTACTTATCTGGGAAAAATTCCTGTTCTTATATCTGGCTAATGGTTTCCTTTTTTTAAAGATTTTTTTTATTTTAAAGAGAATTAAACAAAAATAACAAAATAACAATATAAACAAAGCAAAAACAATAAAATTGATACAGGGTTTCAAAACAGAATCATAGGAATTAACAGTGGTTGGTATATTACGTATTGTTATCATAAACGAAGTTGCTCAGATTACCAGCTGTAAGAATGCAAGATTGATCAAACCATTAAAGAGAATAAAAAATAATAAAAACATTAGAAATGATACAGAACTTCACTAGACAAGCTGGTAGGAATTCACCAATGATTGTTATAGTGCATATTGTTGTCTTCGTTAGTTGTCCAGATTATCAGATATAAGCATGCAAAATTGGTCAAAAAATTTAAGCATTAACTACTCCTTTCAATAAAGCATAAGGCAACAGCAGTACAGTTATCCCAGCTATCCTTCTGTATATATGTGTATGTTTCCCTTCTTTCTTTCTTTTTCTCCTTTCTCTCATCCCAGCTGTTTGCCTAATGGTTTTCTAGTACCAATGTTGAAGATCATTTCTGTCCTGGGCATTTCATGGGAGATGTGAAGCACTGGCTTGAACAATATTCTCAATTATAATTTCATAGAAATTTCAAAAAGAGGGTTCATATGATCCTTTCTTGTACAAATGGGGACGGTGTATAGACAGTATTAAACGCTGAGGCTGGAGTTTGGCCTGGGGCTCAGGTGCACGATCTATCCCATGGCCTCAGCAGGTGTCCTGCTAGGAGTTAGCTTTGGCGACGTCACCGGCGTTGCTGACGCACCTTAGTCTTGTGTGCTCATGAAGGTCCTGATGCTATGTGGTGCTGAGTAGACTCTTGTGTGAGCTGATGTCTCCATTTGCAACCAGAAAACTTGAGCATCCTGGTAAGTTAAGGCTGGAAGATGTCACTCTTGGGCCAGCAGTGTTCTTCCCTGTGGAGGAGGGATGGAAGTCACTTCAGAGAAGGATTTGAACCCAAACTCTTCATCCTGGGTAAGTCAGCGATATTTTCCCAATGCTGTAATTTTTTATTTGATGGTAAGACTCACCCATCTCTCATGTGAATGACAAAATAATAATAATAAAAAAGCTTTCTCCCCCAAAACAAAAGGATAGCATCTCTACTGGAGCACAGGTCCTAGCAGCTCTGTTGTTTTCTTCACTCTTAGCGCTGGGTGGAGGCCTCTGGTTGAATTTGTTGTTCCGAGTTCTTCAACCTCTTCCTCTCAAGGGATGGAGAGTCTCTGCCCTGCTGCACAGCAGTGCACGAGGGCAGCTGGGCCTCTCCAGGCAGGGAGGTTTTTGTTCAGGACTGTATCACTGTGGAAGAAGGTTCGTACCTTGACAGCAGTAATAAACTCCAGTATCCTCAGCCTCCACCCTGCTGATTGTGAGTGTGAAATCTGTGCCTGACCCACTGCCGCTGAACCTGTCTGGGACCCAAGAGTCCCGGTTGGAAACCTCATAAATCATGCGCTGTGGAGCCTGGCCTGGCTTGTGCACCAGCCAATTCAAATAGGTTTTTCCATCACTATGTACGAGGCTCTCACTGGACTTGCAGGTGATGGAGGCCGTCTCTCCAGGGCTGACGGACAGAGAGAGTGGGGTCTGGGTCATCACAATATCTCCTGTGGATCCTAAAATGATGACAGACAAGTGTGAGATCATGGACAAACCCCGTGAGTCATTTTCATAGTTTTCCCTTTTCCGTATATATCAGGCTAAATTATTTTTGTCATTTTGACTTGTGTACAAAAACACTGAATTTTAAGAATGGGCCCCTAGGTAAGGAGCCACAGGAAACCCATAGAGTTCACCTGCATCATCCCTGTCTTTCTGTGTAAAGTCATCATCAGAGAATAGAGGTCTTGTTCCCTCTGGAATCATCCTCACCCCTGCAGGCCCAGCCCTCCCACATCCATGCAGCAGGCCAAGTGCACACATCTCACTGTGTTCTGAGCACAGATGGGCAGCAGAGGGCATCCAGAGCTCACCTCTTACCCCATCTCCCCTCTTAAGCTCCCCTTGTCCTTACCAGGGAGGCAGAGCATCAGCAGCCCCAGAAGCTGAGCAGGGAGCCTCATTTTGAGAAGCTGAACTGGGGAGTCCTAATCACTCAAGGCCAGTTGAGAGCTGAGCCTTTATCTCTGAGTGTCATAGGCAGTTCCTCCCTGAGGAACAAAATGCAAATTGCCTGGGGGGGTGCAGGGGTGTGGAAAGAGTGGAGGGCATGGCAGGAGGCCTCTCCTGTGAGCCGGGTGATAGAAAATATGCTCTGCATTTGGAGGGAACCAATAAAGTCCCTGCTATCTGCAGCAGTGGATGCGAGGACCCCAATGGGAGATTCTGCATCTGCCGCAGGAGCAGGACTGCCATGTTCCTGTCCCCTAAGGCAGCATGCAGACCCTAGGGCATGCACATATGTGTTCAGATCAGTCTCTGGGGGGGGGGGGAAGCCCACCCTGCTCCACCTCCTCCCTAGGTTGAAAGGAAAAAAAAAACCTCACAAATGGTGATCTTCAGAGATTTCCACCACCAGCAGCATGGAGTGGAGCTGGTAAAGATTTGGCCACTACTGTTTCCATGTGAACTTTATGAGTATTAGAAGCACGTTAGAAATTTTTTTCCCTGAATATGGTGATTAAACTGGATTAAGGCTCTCATGTTGAAAGAAATTAGCAGGAATAAAATGTGTGCTTCTTTCAGATAAATACCCTATAACCTTATGGAATTCAAGGGGGAAAGCTGACCAAGTTATGCTTCATGTAATGAATATACAATTGGTGATATCCTTTTCAAATTTGTGAATAATCTGTCATATTTATCTCCACACGTTTGTGTATCAAATTATACACATTTAAGTGTGAATCCTAATAAACATACTTGTATGTAAATGTATGTATCCATACGTAAATATGTAAATCTGTATATACATCCCCATACACAGCACATTAATAAAAATATTTCTTAAGGGAAGACTTGAATAGAATGAAGGGAAGAATTGAAGTATTGTACAGAATGAAGGAGGTGTAATTTTATACTATTGTTTTCTAAATGATTAGAAAAAATCCTATTCATATGTATTTTTATTGTCCTAGCAGCAGTCCATATTTTATTAATTAATCAACTTTGACTTTTTGAGACAGGGCATTGTTGCAGAGTTGAGACTGGCCTTGAACTCACTATGTGGCTTAGACTGGCCTGGAACTTTCAGTGATCCTCCTGCCTCGGCCACCAGAGTGCTGGGATTATAGGTGTGCGCCCCTATGCCTGGCTTACAATCCCTATTTAAGAGAAGATTCCTTATTTAGAACATCAGGACTGAATCTGGTCTTTTCAGTGTTTCTGTGCCGTTCAAATGAATGACCAGCTTCAGCCAAGAGGATCCTAAGGAAGTGTGTTGGGTCGGATCTGCTCAGGGACGTTAATGTCAGCTTGCTTCCTCCAAAGCCATGAGGAGAAACCCTGCTGTGAAAGCCTGAAGTTTATGATATTTTGTTTTAAATGACAGTCCAAGAACTCCAGCTCATCCATTCAAAACTATAGAAGCTTTGTGGGAAAATCAATATCCTCTCATGTTTGCCTTCATTATAATTGCAGCACTGCAAATATTTCACTCTTCCCTTCTTCTATGTCTCCTTCTTCCTCTTTTCTCCTTTACTTGGGTTTGGACCCATAACCTTCACAGTAAGCTGTATCCCCAGCCCCTTTTATTAGTATTCTTAAAATTTTGAGATAAGGTCTCCTTAAGTCAATAAGTTGGTCAATTTAGGCTGACACTTGCCATCCTCCTGCCTCAGCCTCCCAGAATTCACGGTTGACAGGCATGTGTGATCTGGCTTGGATGTCTTTCTCTTCTGAGTGTTTACGTTCTCTGTGAGCACTTTGAAAAGGTGATATGATTACATGTCTGGTGTTTCTGATTTGCTTTTTGTTCCTTTTAAAATTGTGTAAGATTTTATCCATGCACTTTTGCAGCACACGACGGTTGCATTCATTGTGGGGAACTGGAACATGTGCGTGACACATCTTAACTCTTCTCACTTCCTCATTTTTAGATTCTTAGGAGTCTGTTCTTCATCTGTCTAACCTGAGTTCACAGTGGCGAGTAACATGAAAGAAAATGAGCCGGAGGTCATTGAAACAGGCACACAGCAAGGTTCTAGTCTCACAAAGATGTAGAGAAGATAGGAGAACTTGATGGAAAATAACTCGGACACACTCAGTCAGCTTTCATATTCTTGTCCTGGGAAATGAAGTAGTTTCTGGATCCATGTACAGTTGGGCTGTGTTACATTATGATATTTGAACAGTCTTGGGTAAAATTTGAATCAGATTTTAAGAATTTGTAGCGTGTTATCTACTGAAAGCAAAATAAAAGGGGAGCTCATATTAATGAAATCAAACATGTATTTTATCAAGAATATTACCAAAGATGCTAAATTTTCAAGACCAATTGTACAATTTACACTGCCTGCAAAATATCCCATGATGTCAGTTATGTATGGTTGGTTAATGATATTGTTTTGTTTCCTTCACTTTTTTGTTTGTAATTCATTTCTTCAAGATGTTTTTATAACCCTCCAAATCTGCATTCTAGGTGGAACCTGTTGCTCTGTATAATTTCTACTGTTTTCATGCATAATCTAAATATCTATTTTTTTTTCCCCGATTCTGGGAATCAAACTCACGACCTTGCATTTGCCAGGCAGGTGCTGTGCCACTGAGCTAAATCCCCAGCCCCTCCATTTGTTTATGAATGCCTGGAATCTCTGACTTTGTGGTCTGTGACCCTGAAAATATTGTTTGTAAAGCTATTTACATTGTGAGTTATTACTGAATGATATTCATTATTTCTTGTCATTGCACTTTTATTTTCTGTTGCTGATTTCTTTATCTTTTCCTTTTGATTGAGTTCTCACTTTTTAGTGCTGATCTACTAGTCATGAGTTTCTTAAAGGGCTCTTTGTTGTGGAAATTCTTTATTTCTCCCTAAATTTTGAAAGATGTTTTGGTAGGATGTTATAACGTGCATTGAAAGTGTTTGTTTGTTTGTTTGTTTTTCTTTTCCTTTTTGGATTTGATACACTCTTCCAAGCTCTCCTGACTTTAAATCTTGTGTTGAGAAATCTGCTGTTATTCTGATGGGTCTGTTTTTATATGTTACTTAATATTTCACTCTAATGGCTTTCAGTATTCTTTCTTTGTTCTGATGTTCTTGGATTTTTCTAATACATGTCGTAGAGAGATTCTTTTCTGGTCATATCTGCTTGGAGTTTTAAATGCATTATTATCTGGATGTCATTTCAATCTCTGGATTTGAAAGTGTTCTGCAGTAGTTTTGGAGAATAAATTTTTTATACCTTTCCTTCCCTCTGCAGCCCTTCATTGACTTCCACAATTCTTAGTTGTGTCATGTAGAGGCATCTGTGAGCTCTCAGATCAACTTCTCTTTTTTGTTGTTTCAAGGAGAATCACTAAGTCATTGACTGGATCATTCTTCTCCTAAATTCTGATGTTTCTGTTCTGATTGGTCCTGTCTACCAGTCTGACTTTTAGTTGTGTTCTTCATTTCAAGGACTTGTGCTTTATTTTTTTTTTTTAATACCATAAATTCTTTTCTACCCTGTTCATTTGTATCTTGAATTGTCTTATTCAATTCAAGCAGTTGTCCCTGATTTCTTTAAGCTTGTTGAGCACCTTGTTAATTAAAACTTTCATCTGTTTATTTACATCTTCTTTCAGTTCATTGAACATTGTATGCAGTTTCTTTTTTGATCTCAAACACTGAGCCATTATCTTTATGAGTTTTTTCCTGGATACTTCCTCCACGTTATTGCCTGTCAGATAGCATTAGGGAAGTTATAAAAATTTGAGGCATTCAGTTTCTTGTTTTTCATTAATACTGCCAGGGAATAATGGTGAGCTGAGCTAGAAAGAACTGCTGGTAGAGATTCCTAGCCCTGAACTGCAAACAGAGGACAGTTACTGGTAATATTTGCCAGCAAAGAACCAATCATATATATGTATATAATGCAGAGGTAGTTTATCAAGTGTTGTGCCCTTACAATAACCCAGGAGTACAAAAGATCAGAAACGGTAGAGAAAAGCCTCTAAGATACAAGATAAAAAGGATTTAACAATAAATCAAAGAGGAATAATTGAGAGAAACAGGAGACTGAAAAGAAACAAAGTCTGAGAGAAGAAATCAGTGCTTGATGATATTATTTTTAAATGCATAAAAAGGGGGAGAGGGAAGGGGGATTTGACAGGATCCATGTGAGAGTAGAGGGAAAGGAGGAAAGGGGAAGATTTATGCGTACAAAAGTAGTGCAGTCTTTACAGAGACTCCATCCAATTTATAAACTGGAAGAAAACCTATGTTAAAAAACCTAGGTAACAAATTTTGGTGAAGGAGAACTTGACAGCCCACTGTAAAACATTTTAGAAAACCACATTTAAAACTCATTTGCAGTTGTTTATAAACAGATACCCCTCACATGCCCCCTAAAATAGAATAAACCAGAAAGACTAAGTTTAATACCGGGTTCTATATACAAAAAATGGGGAGGAGGGCACTGTGCAGTGTGTGAGGGGAGGGGAAGGGGTAAGAGAATGGGGGAGAGACCTAAGTAGATCCTGAAAGAAGAAAGAAGGAGGTGGAGCACAGTTCATGACCCAACTAATACTATATCAGCAACACTATAAAACAACCCTTGGTGAGGAGGAGCCTAATGTGATGTGTTAAAACTCTATGGCACTCAGATTACTCTTAATGGCTTATGTATAAAAGAGAGGAGTAGGTAGAAAGGGAGAGGCAAAAATAAGTACAAAATCTAAGATGGAAGAGCTGATAGATAGGAGAAGGTGTAAGGGGAAAATAATTC